TGAAGTCTGTTGAAATAGTCTGCCACATATTCTTGATCAAGCATGGATAACAGATCGTACTGTCTTCTGAGAGACTACAACTTCACTTTCTTGATCTTGTCATCACCTCCATATGCCCTTTGCAGAATATTTCAAGTCTCCTTTGTAGTCTGTGTAACATCCAGTATTTCCCAAAAATATTTCATTAATATAATAAAATATTTTGTCATTAACTTTAATAAAATGGTATTATGAGTTATTTTAAGACTTGATAATTTTTAAAGATATTAATAAATATATATATATATATATATATGAAATTTTTAATAGAGTGAAATAGATAAATTTAGAATTGAGTTTAAAATGAAGTAATAATAATAATAAGAGTAATATCATTAAGCAAAATTAGTAATATAATTTCCCATTGATGAAAGGATTTAATTGGTAAGTGAAAAAGTAAGTGAGGGTAATTTTGGAAAGGAGGTTAAATTTAAAGAAGAGAAAGACCAATTTTCTTTCTCACTTACAGAAGCCATTTTGGGAGAACGGGAGGAAGAAGAGAAGCTTGATTTTGCTTGCCCACACCATCTTGGTTCATCCTTTTTGCAATTAAGAGTAAGATCCATGAAATTAAAGCATTGGATTTCAATATTATCTCCTAAAATCTTCTTAATCTCAAATATATGGTCATTTTGATGCTTATACGAGACAAACTTTTCTTGAACTAAGGATCTCTATTTTCTTGTTTGAAAGCTTCATTTGAGGTAAGGATAGTCTTCTTGTCATCAACCCTAAGCTAAATCATCATTTATCTCACTTCTACATTAATTGGAACCAAATTAAAATGTTTTATAAAAATTTCGTATGGCTATTATAGTATATTTAGATACTCTACAATGCTCCTTTCATACTTTAGAGTTTAGAAATGGATTCCTTGGATGTTAAAACCTAGAGTTAGTCATAAAAATCACTTAAATTGGATTTTTCTAGAGGAAGATGATGAAATATGTGTTGAGAGATGTTGTTGGACAAAAATCTGCATGTGAATTGAATCTTTGGGAAATTATGTAAAAATATTTACTTGGTATTTAATTCTGAAATTTTGATTAAATGTTCCTTTATATGTCTATTTTGTGTGTGATTTATTTCAAAATTTTCTGACCAGTGAATTTTCGATGAAAAATCTTGGAAGTAAATAGGTTTTGAGTTGGGTGAAACATAATTGTTATGTCCGCTCAGCAACTTTGAAAAATCATATAAAATTGAAATTAAAGGTTTTTGAGATGAAATTTTTATAATAGTTGTGATTGTAGATATATGTTAAGAATATTTATTTTCATAATTTTATGAGCATTAATTTATTTTATAAAAATATATCTTTGAGTAATGCTCTGATAGTGGAATCTTCAAAATGTATAAAAAGGGAGGAAAGTTTTGAATGACTTAGAAATCTTTAAATTTTGAGTTATAATTTTTATTATAATCCTAGAATATATGTATTTTGAACTGGAAAATTTCATAGAATTTGGAGTTAGTTTAGATGGCAAAGAATTTTTCCAAAGTTACACTTTTCTAATGCTTATGATAAACTTTTCTTCCTAGAGAAGTATAAACAAAACTTTAGTTCTGTACCTATTATTTATTTTATGAGTATGTATGATGTGAGAATGATAGTGTAATGAGATATTTTGGGACACTAGATTAGAATAACAAGAGTTTAGAAAATTTGATGGATCGCAATGTGTGTTGAGTCCGAGAGTGTCCGACTCTCGGCAAATTTTTATTGTTCTTGTTTGATGCAGGAAAATGTATTTATAAATTTGATTTGAATGTATTTATAAATTGGGAAATGTCCAAATTACAAAGGAGACTCTGTCAAATTTTTTGAAATTGATGAAAAATAAATAAAGCTTAATAAGAATGGTATAAAGAAACGTTATGAATAGTTAATGCATTCATAATCATGGTAGTTAGTGGAAATCATGTCTATAAGATGTTTGTGCTATGTGCTGAGTCTAAGTCAGAGATGTTGGTCATTTAAAAATAGGGTATTATGTCTATAGTGATATGGTCTATATGATGTAGAGTTTGTTCCTACCAAATATATTATTGTTAAAGAGTTGTGGTGTCACTCAGTGACGAGATATGTGTGTGGATGGTACGGAGATACACCGGGGGCTTAGGAGATAAGAGAAGATCAGATTGATCTTGGGGAAATATACAGTGCATTGTTTGGCCACGCTCTATACTCCCGACTTGACTCTTTGACTTTGTCTTTTTGCCAAGGGATCGTTATGCGTAAGCATTGTATCTGTGATGCGCAGATCAACCGGCAACTATCTATACTTCTGTGAGTCATTTATGCTCGTGTGTAATTTTGTTATGCTTGTGAGAGTTGTCTGTGCTTATGTGTGACCCTTTCATGGATTGAAAGATGGGATTGATAGTGTATCCTAGGTGCATGAGCATTTCAAATGTGAAAAAAAAAAATGAACGAATGAAACACAAACATGTATTGTGTGTTTTTAGTTTGAGTAATGTGATTTGTGGAAATTGTTTGAAATTTTTGTGGGATACTTTATTGTAAAAAATGAAATGTTTGACTATAAATGTTACATATGGTTTTAGATTGTGGAGGTTGGAAAAATTTTCGGTTTAGTGTTCTGGAGTGATGAGAAAAGGAAACTCATCCTTACTGTTATATTTCAGGTAATGATGGAACAATTGTGGTGGAGGAACCACAGTTTGATTGAATATCATATACATATGTATGGAAGAATGCTGACCTCCAGGAGGGGTATGATCTTGTATAAGAAAGTTAGGAATTTTGGGTACCTGCTCTGATTAGGATTTGCTTTATTTTGAGATGTATAAATTTAAAATTAAGTTCTAATCGTTTAAGGGTACAAACTTTATGTAATTACAGTATGATCCTTGTTGGATTAGTTATTTTGAAAAATAATGTATTATGATTATGGATGTATATGTATGAATATGTTCGACACATCTATATATATTCATTAACGCATGATCAGTTTTAAAGTTCATTGTCATAAAGAAATAATATTGTAAAAAAAAATTATTCCCATTTTTTAGAAATTAAATAAATTAGAAAAAAAAATGACGTTACAGTCTGGACTTTGGAAATCTTTTGAAAGTTGACAAGATCCACACACTGATGTAAAAGACAGTGTGCCTTGAAGTCCTTTTTCTTTGTTGTTGCATCTGCCTTCTCTCCCATGCCTTCTTTCACCATATTAAGAATTTCTTGATAGTCCAAAATGACTTCCATTCTTATCACCCGAGTGATCATAATTTTTTCCATCCAGAATTGGCAGATTAGACATGAAATTTCTCCTCCATTGAAAGTCATCTTGCCCCAAGTCTTACTTGCTTCGATACCACTTGTTAGCAGAGAAAAAAAAGTAGAAAAGTAGATAACATAAAACTTCTCTCCCTTTTATATTTTTATATCATAGTAAATTTTATTTATAGAGTCTATTTACAACAGACTTATTTACAAACAACTAACAAACATAACTACTTGAATTAGTTACCATGGAACACAAAATTACATATATATTGTCTTGTGTTTTATACCTTTTAAAATATTATTATTATTGTTATTATTATTATTATTATTATTATTATTATTATTATTATTATTATTATTATTATTATTATATAAATTAAATTATTATATTGTGTATTTTATTAAATAATTTTAAAAAATTAGATTTATCAATTAAAAATATGAAATTCAAATTTAAAAATTCAACTGGTATTTAACTAAATTTATAAAATAATATTTTTTATAATATAAAAAAATTATTAATAATAATAATTAAAAAATAATAATTTCAATAATAATAATAAATATGGTTATCATTATCATTGTAAATTATAATAAAAATTATAAATATAAAATATAATAAAAAATAAATAATTATAAAAATAAAGTAAAAATATAATAGTTATAAAGTTAATAATAAAAAAACTAAAAAATATTATATCTTTGATAAAAAAAATATCCTAACTGATTTTTTAATTATATCTTATTTAAGATTAATTCAGTTAAAATATAATTATTTGACAGTATCACTTTTCGATTTGACCCTAATTTTTAAAAAATAGTCATTTAAAATCAAAGACTTTTAGGTTTTGGCCTATTCCTGAATTGGTTTATTTCTAAAAAAAAAATTATTCTACGTCACTCCTGTTTTGATACATATTATCCAATGCTTACACGCCAATACAACTTCAGTTTTCTTTACAGTAATATCATTATTTTGTATCATCAATAAACTCATCCCTTATTTAATATATAGAAATATTAAAAATTTAATAATGTGTATTAAATATCAATGATAATAATTACAATAAATTTTTGAATAGAGACTAATTTAATGATAATATTATTTAATTATAATAGATTCATTAAATAAAACTGATTTAATGATAAAAATATTTGATGATATTAATCTTCAAATTAGGTTCTATTTTCATGGAATACCATTCCAAATATGAATTTAAATTTTAATTTAGTCTCTAGTTATTGTAGTAACTAATTCTTTAAATTTAGAAACCATTGATTCAATTTCTAGAGATAGTTTTTCTTATAATAATAAATAAATATTTTAAAACATTGGCAATGCACTACTCTCTTTCATTTATCTTTTAATATTTTTATATAAAAGTAAAAAAAAATACATACTAAATTTACTGCAAATATAGCATTTTCAAAAATATTGTCTTATAAGTACTTTTGTATTAATGTATACATACATTTCAAAATGTAAATACTTTTCAATATATGTTATTATATATAGCAGGACTAGGAACCCTATAATATGTACCATTTTCATGAAAAGCTTGAAAATTTTATTTATCTGGCTCGTGAATTATATTAATATTACAAACAGGAAGAAATGTTTATTGCATGTGGTTTATACGAAATAAAGTGCATGAACCCAAACTAGTAAGACATTTTGGCTTTAACAGCAGGAACCTGCGACCGTGTTTCAGGTTGTTTTTGCAGCTGCATGTGCATGTGGTGAAAACTTGTTGATAAAATCGTATATATGAGCATTGATTTCCTGGGGGGCTTCTTGATTATTGAAGTGAGATACTCCTTTCAACACAATCACTTCTTCTAAATTTGGCACATCTTCCTTGAAACCTCCACCATGGATGTACTCCTTCAAGTTCAGTGAGGTGTATACACTGTCCAAGTCTCCCGTAATGAATTTTACCGGAACCTTGATTTGCACTCCACTCCATGGTGACGTGAGCTCCCAATTTCTGCAAATAGTACATACGAATAATTAATTTACTATCTTTTTAATTTGGATCCCTGTCACGTTCCACTGATATTTCTCCAAAGAGAAACATATTTTAAAGCAGTGGAAAATATTATCCTAGGCAACTAGGCAACTCAAGAATTTACGAGTTGAAATTTCTGTAGTAGTTCAAGCTTCCAGTGAAACCCGTTTTGTTGAATTTGGAGACAAAGTAATCAAGATCATCTTGTGTGAGCCAAGAGGGCAAGGTATCAGGCATATCCGGATTGAATCCGGTTCCAAACTCTCCCTTGGGAAAGATTGGAGGACCAGGTGTACGATTTGTAAGGTTGTTTTTCAGAACATACTCAGTGCCAACTTCAGCCATCTGGGCTTCCATTTCACCCGGTTTCTGTCACAAGATTTAAAAACAATAATTACCATTACATCCTGATTAATCCGAAGCCACTAAAAGTAAAACAAAAAGCGGTGGTTGGCTAAAGGTAAAGAAAATGACCTGAAATCTGCAGATATAGTAGTCATCTCCATACATAGCACGCATGCCATCTACCGTTCTCACGTTGGGGTCTCTGCGGAGGAAAGGAACACTGAGGCAGACATAGGCCTTCACTCTGTCAGGGCGAAACATGCAGAGGTACCAACCTATGATGGCACCCCAGTCATGAGCCACGAGGAAGACTTGTTGGACACCCAGAGAGTCGATAAGGGCAACGAGATCACCCACTATGTGCAAGCAGTTGTAGCTGCTGATTGAAGGTGGTGCCTCCGTGTCACCGTAGCCACGTAGATCTGGAGCAACAGCGTGGTATCCTCGGGAAGCAAGATCCAGAATCTGGTGGCGCCAGGAGTACCAGAGTTCAGGGAAGCCATGGAGGAACAACACCACAGGACCTTCCCCTTTCTCTGCTACATGCATTTTTATGCCGTTCACTTCCACTGTTCGGTGTACCACTCCTTCCATCTCACTAGTCACCGTCTTAAAAGTTTCTATCAAAGTTCTGTGTGGTTGATTTTTTATCCAAACATATATTGGAAGCCTCTATGTACCTTGATTTTTACTGATATATACTAAATAGTGTATATATATATATATGCTAATACTAGTTACTGTTTGCTTCTTTATTTTATTTGATCTAGAAGCAAGTTATGAATTTTCGTTTGAATTCAATACAATTGTTGGATCAGACTTTTGTACCTACTATGGTCTGGTTTGCAAATAGGTTTGATGAATTTGTAATTATCTATTCCATTATAAGTAACTAGTCAATTAGCTGACGCGAGCTCTTACCTCTTTAATGTTGGCTCAGTTTGTAATTATCAACATCTTTTTTCTTTGCATTCTATGCCTTGACTTTGACGGTTTGTTTTGGTTGAATTTGGTTTAATTCAAAATCATAAAGATGATGAGTTGGCTTTCGACTATGGCCATAACTTGAGTTTCATGCACATCATATCCAAAATGGCTGATAAATACTTATAAATTGTACATTCAAAAGGACTCTTATATAACTTGTCTATTTCACCATTTGCTATTGTTAATTAAAAAATTTTGTTGTCTAAATTTAGATTTGGTTTGTCCATTGAGATTGATCCTCTTTTTGTAACTTTTCTATCTTTTTCATTTAGGCCGCCTCGTCAAGAATTTTTTTATTATTACAACTTTGTTTATAAAAAAACATTATTTATTTTAAATCAATGATGTTACATCACCTTTTATATCCCCCACTTCTAAATTTTCATTGGATTCGTCACGGTAATCCGTATCTTTATCTTTATCCTTCTTTTTTTTTATTGATCTAAGGATTTTTATAAAAACTTGCGATTATTATAAGAGAAATCTTTAACATGAGACATTGTGACACTTAAAAGTCACCATCACCATTATTAAGAAAACATTTTGTAAAAATTAAACATAGATTCATCCTTGCAAGTGTATGTGATCAACTTCAATTGAAGTTCACTCATATGTAGCATTAGAATACATTAATTGTGTTAATTAAGTTGTTTGACATATAACCTCCTTATTAAATAATGTGTATGCACGACTTTTAAATTTTATCTCTCTTTTGGTAGTATTTATCTGATAGAGAGAGAATAAAAAGATAAAAATAAAGGTTATTTGCAAAGAGAAATAAAGTGAAAGTTAATTTTTTAATATTATTTAATTTTATGAAACAAATATTACCATAATTAAAAAAATCGTTAGTATTATTTGTTTTTAGTTATTATTTATTATTTTTAATATTATTATAGTTTTTATTATTTTTTAAATAAAACCAAGTTATAAGGGATTAAATGTTTTCTTTTGTAGGTGATTCGTTAACACTCCAATCATTCAACTACAACTATAAATATTAGCATTATATTAAATATTATTATTATTATATTTGGTTAAAGAGGAAATTATTGTGAAACAAAATTTTCACTTTTGTTTGACATTGTATTCACCTTCCAGGCGTAGAAAACTATGTCTTCGATTTAACCCATGACTTAGGATAGGTCTAAATGACTCTTATATTAAACTTTTTTTACTTAATGAGTACGTTAAGTAAATCTAAAGTCCCACATAAAGATTAAAATAAAAGTGATTTACTACAAATAAACATTACGTTTATAATATTATTGTTTACTTATTTTTATCTTTTATTTATTTATTTATTTTAATGACATATTTAATAAACATTAATTATTTTTTATTTATTTTTTCCTACTATCTAATAACGCTAGAATTATGAAATAAAAATTATAAATTTTTAAAAATAAATTTCCGTCTTTTAATAAAATTAAAAGTTACAGTAAATAAATAGTCACACAAACAAGTTTTATTTCATAAAAACTTATGATAATATTATATATTTGTTTAAATTATTTCTTACTTTAAAAAAATTAATAAAAATAAAATAATATTTTTTTATACAAAGTTTTTAAATAAATTATTTAAAAGATGCAAATATTTCTTCATTTTTATATGATTTTATCAAGAAGTAGAAAGAACAGAAATTAAAAAGAAATATGTTGAAAAAAATAAAATTAAATGTTAATTATTTCATAAATGAAAAAATAAGAAATAAAGATAACTTTTTAAATTAATATAATTTGATTAAGTTATTTGAATAATATATTATTCAAGAAATATCTGTTAAGTATTGTAAATGTCAATTTGTATCCAAAATTATTATAAATCAAAATCAACTTTTAATAAAGTTTTATCTTTTAAATAAATAATATTTATTTAAATATAGAAGTTTTATTTAGGGTAATAAGGTGTAAATATTAACAATTTGTATTCAAAACGATTATTAGGATTTATGATTGATCATCGAGGAGGATGTTGAAATGATATCAATGTTTATATTTTTTTCTTGTATATCTTGTGAAAATATATTTTTTTTTAATCAAATTCCGATGGATCATGATATCAATATTATTTATTCAAATTAGATTATGTAATAAATAGATAAAATTTGAAATAAACTAACATTTATTTAATGTATGTAAATATTTTTTAAAGTGCTTTTGGAAACTCTCGTGCCTTTCTTTGTTCACCACTAAAATATGTTCAAAAAATGTCAACAAGACGACTACTTTGTCAACTTAAACCAGTCCCTACACCGAATCCATGCAACAAAAACAAAACCAACATCCAATTTAGCTTCGGGAGTAAGAGGATTGCCGTCTATGTTGCAAACTGCAAATATTACTCGAACCAAAACATGTTGATGTAATTCCACAATTATGATAACACAAAATAAACATGTTCTTGACAATGGTGACATAGATCAATGGTGACCACATTATTTAACTGAACTCAAAGTTAGCAGCGCAATAATTATCTAAAGCTTATAACATCAGAACTTCTTGATAAAATCATAAATGTGATTGCTGACATCCTCAGCAGCTTCTTGGTTGTTGAAGTGAGCAACCCCTTCCTGCACAACCACTTCCTCCAAATATGGCACATCTTTCTTGAAAGCACCGCTCTTAATGTAGTCTTTCATCCCTAGTGAAGTGTACACTACATCCAAATCACCTGTAATGAATTTCACTGGAACTTTCACTTGCACTCCAGTCCATGCTGCTGTGAGCTCCCAATTGCTGTAAACATAACGCACATGAATACAACAAGTTTTGAAGCAACAAAAGCCATAGAGGAAAGCCTAAAATTTTTAGCTTGTTATTCATGGACAGTAAATCTTCCAGTTTGGAACATTCCTCCCCATATATATATATATATATATATATATATATATATATATATATATAGGAAAAAGAGCATAGGAACTTACAGGTTGAGATTTCTGTAGTAGTTGAGCCCCCCAGTTAGGCCTGTCTTTGCAAATTTAGAAGCATAATAAGTCAGATCTTCCTGTGAGAGCCAGGATGGAAGGGGCCTTGAATGATCAGGATTGGAAACCACTCCTTCTTTGGGAAGGATTGGTGGTCCAGGTCTCCGACTTGTAAGCATGCTCTTGATTACTGGTTCCAAGTTATTATTGCCATACATAGCTTCCGCCTTGCCTGGCTCCTGTCACACGATTTAGTACCACAATATAAGATCACCATTCCATCAAAATACAAAATTGGTATCTATGGTAAAGATTTCCTTAATTTATACAGTCTTTTTAAACTTTTAACTTTAAACATATTGATCAAACCCATTCCAAATGCATTTTTTTCTCTGTATCCTTTTTCTTTTTGTTGTCTATTACATGAATTAAAAGAGAGAAGATCACATTACGACCGGTTGCAACATCGAGTTTGAACCTTGGAAAACAAACACAAACAGATACCACCGTAATTGCATAATCAAGTTCACATAATTCGGCAAGAAGCAACGAATAGATGAATGATTTTGCAGAATCAAGTTCATATAAAATTCAATTTCACATTTACCCTAATCTGATAAATGGAATTTGACGAAAGTAACGAAATTCGTTGAAGGAAACTCAAATCGAGATACCGTAGTGCTAGAAAACCCCCTACCTACAGCAATTAAGTAACTCCATCCATCTTTTGTACCTCGGACTTTCCTAAACAGTGACCTTGAATTAAGGCAACACCCACTGGAACAGTGGACTTAAATTAACAAAAAGCCATAAATAGTTAAGTGCTTTTAAAGTACAGATTTAGCGATTAGGGTTATAAAAAAATTGAATAAGGCCGAGGAAGCACCTGGAATCTGCAGATGTAGTAGTCATCCCCGTATAGGGCCCGCATAGCATCAACGGGCCTCACTTTTGGGTTTCTGGGCATGAAAGGGACGCTGAGGCAAACATAGGCCCGGATTCTCTCGGGCCTTAACAAACAGACGTGCCAACCTACGATAGCACCCCAGTCATGGGCCACGAGGAAGACTTGATCCACACCAAGTGAGTCTATGAGTGCGACGATGTCAGCCACGAGATGCAAGATGGTGTAGCTGCTCACCGAAGAGGGGACGTCGGTGTCTCCATAGCCACGTAGATCAGGAGCCACGGCGCGGTACCCGAGGGTGCTGAGAGCCAGAATCTGGTGGCGCCAGGAGTACCAGAGCTCAGGGAAGCCATGGAGGAACAACACCACAGGACCGTCCCCTTTCTCTGCTACATGCATTTTTATGCCGTTCACTTCCACCGTCCTGTGTTCTATGCCTTCCATCTCTTCTTCCCTTCTCTTCTGTGATACTGTGAGATGTGTAAGTGTAACTCTAACTCCAACCTCACCTTTCTTAAATAGATAGGGTGCATGATTTGACTCCAATCAAAACGGTTCACTTCATTCACATACAAAGTTTGACAAGCTCAACCACTCTCCTTTTCTATTCCGCCATTCTTACTTAAGAGTTCTGATAGTTTGATAAAAAAACATCTATTATACAAATTTATTTATTAATATTCTATTTATAAAGTCATTAATTTAAAATAAAATTAATTCAAATTTATTTTATTAATCTATCTTTTTCCCTTTCTTAATCTCTATCAACTTTCAAATATTTGTTTTTCATTATATTTTTATTCAACTATTCATTATTGTTAATTTCATCCTTTTTAAAAATATTATGATTAAAATATTCTCCTTTTGTCTAGAAAAATTAACGTTATACTAATACAAGTAACATGTCTTACACGTTATCAATAAAATATACACAATCCCCAATAAATTATATGGATTTATCTTTTTTAAAAATAAAATAATGTTAAAAATAATAGTAATAATCCGAAATTAAAAAATATTTACCCATTTTATTATTTCTCATTTTGTTTATATTAAATTAGTCTTTATCTTTATTGTCTGTACATTCATACCTATTAAATGAAACTGCACACATCTCAACATTCAATAAATTAATTTTACAAAATTTACTATAATTTATTACATTTAGAACTGCACTTGCTGTTCTTTTCGAGCTCTTGAGATTCGAGTAATTTAATTACATATTTTATTACCAATTATCAATTGTTATTTTATCAATCAGATAAATATTTAAAAACATATTAATGCATCATAAAAAAATAAAAAACTCAAAACAGCATTGATTAGTTACAATTTTGATATACCCAGTTACTTCATTAAAAGCGTGGAAAAAGAAAATTTAGAAAATACCAATAATTAAGTGATAAAACACATGGTTAAACTCTTTTCTAATACAGGACATGCTACTTTAAGGAGTTAGCATTCATGAATCACACTGTATTCTATTTTCTTCTCATATCTGAACCATTTTATCAGCTGTTGCATTAAATGTTCATATAATTATACACGTTTCTTCTAATAATGTAGAAGTTAGTGGTGAAAGCCAGAGTGTATCAACGTCATATTAAATATTTGAATACACCCATCAATAAAAAAAATCTTATTAATCCAGAATAAAAAAACAAAATGAAACGGAATAATGATAATATAAAAAAATTGTAAATCGCTTCAAAATAAATAAATAAATCATATAATCTTGGATGATATGTAAAAAAACTTTACTTTGATATTGCTGATGAAAAAAAATCAAACTAATTTGGTCAATATTTTATTTGCTCCCAAACAAACGATTAATTCCATGAGACTTGACATGGAAATTTTTCTTTTAAATAAATGATTGAAAAGAATAATGTGAAAAGTCAAAATCATCCTTTAATGAACCGCATGAAAACACGAATATTACTTTAACAAAAGAGAATCTTTCATTAAAGAAAGTTTGTTACGAAAAGAACAAGAAAATGCGGGAAGAGTACTGTCCTTCGTTTCTGGAGAAATGTAAAACATTAATAAAATGTTGAAATTTCGTTGCTACATGAAACTTTTATTAAATTTTATCTACTAACAATTAATAACATGAACGATTATTAATTATCACTTTGTTTTTCATTCACACATAAAAATATAAAATGATAAATGTAAAATAGTTAATAATTAAAAAAATTAAATAGATAAACTAATAAAATAAGAAATATTAAATTTTATATTAATTTATTAATTATTTTTTATAAATAATAATATCTATTTAATTAATTTCTCAATTATATTAACTTCACTATAAAATCTATATCTATTAAATTTAAAATAAATATTTTTATCTAACATTTATTCTATTATATATATATATATATATATATTATATTTTTATCTTTTATTTTGTTAATTAACAATTCATAGATAAAACAATATTATAATTTACAGACAATATTTGACAGAAATAATCCACAAATCATAATTAAGATGGAGAATCACATATAATAATTTAGATAAGTAATTCACGTATACTAATTTATATAAATAGTTCATAAAAACACTTTATTTAGATAATAAGTGAAAATAATATATACCTATTAATTTATATATGATATTTATTATAATAATTTATTCAAATATTTTGACTGAATAATTAATATACGATGTTATTTAATGATATATATATATATATATATATTAAATTATTTTATATTTATATTTATATTTTAACTTTTTTTTAGTTTTATTAACGATAAAAGTGAATAAAGATTATATTTATATATATATATATATATATCATGATATTTTGTTAATTTTTTATTATATTATTTTATTTAAATTCTCATAAATATATGTAAAATTATAGATGAAAGGGATAAATAAATAAATAAGTAATATAATAATAATGATAATTAAAAAAATTAAATAATAAAATAAAAAATAATTATAAGAATTTAATGTTGTCCGAACTATTAACTAAAACCATTTTCTTTTTCTTTTTTTTAAAAGTACTAATTAAATATCAACCCAAAAGTCAACTCTGGAGGTTTGGTTTACCTTCTTCAACAGCTTATAATAAAAAAAAAGTCAACTTTTACACCTGCATCCGTCTAACTTCCTTGATGACAATTTAACCGTTTACTACATTCATTTAAGACTGGACATGACATTGATTGGCTGTGTAAAATGTGGGATTATTTTCACCTCCCACTCAATAAAATTCACATTTTATATTATTTCATATAAATCAAGTGTTAGAAAGGAACGGTAGGATGGATTAGTTGGTTTTATTTTGGTTTATGTTGTATTTGTGGAATGAATTTACTCGTTATAATTAGAACACCTACATATTTCAGTCCGTTTTGTTATAGGGTTTGAGTAGTCGGTGGACTAATTTATTAATACTTTTTTTAAATATATTTTTAATTATATAAATAATTTTTTTTAAAATATATTTTCAATTATATAAATAATTTTTAAGTTTTTATTTATTAATTCATATTTTTATTAGATAAATTAAAAATTATTATATTTATGTATTAAAATAATTAATTATAACTAATGATTTAAATTTATTTAATTATTTTTATAATTTAAATTATATTATTATAATATATTTACATATTTTAATAATATAATATTTTTAATTATAATTTTTTATTTTAATTTTAATATATAAATACTTTTTAAAACAAATTAACTCGTCACGTGTTATTCTTAACTGTTTAACTTGACCTGTTCTGCTATCTATAGTGTTACGGTATCAAATTTGATATAATAACCCTATGAGAATTTAACATGTGAGAGATTTTATTTTTATAAGATATTTAATAAATTAAAGAAAATTATTTATAAACTAATCTTAATTTAATTTTTAAGTAACAGAAAATTTATTAATACATATCATAAAGAATAAACTAATTATTTATTAAGTATGTTAAGATCAAATCAAATATAGATGATGGAATTTATTTTAAGTAATTATTATGTTTCTTGTTAAGAATATAGCTAAACGTCAAACTAAATATACATCTATACTGTTAAAGGAAATTGCATAAATAATCCAGCCACACAACATGCACGTAAGTTTCCGGACTGTTTTGCATAGAGATTGAATTTATAATAAATTATTTTATATTATTACAATTTTTCATAATTAACTATTATTTTTATATTTTATATAAGTATATTTTAGCATATATAAATGTAAATAGAATGTATAACTATGACAATATCTTTAATTACTATGAGTACATATTTTATTAATCAATAAAATAAAATCACAAATATATGAATCAAAAGAGAAATAATATAATACTGTCACTTAACATTTACTTACGTAACAAAATCTTGGCATAGTTTGATTTTTTTATTTGTTAATTATTAATTCTAGTTATTTATTTAGCATAATTGAAAATTCATATTCTTTATATTTAAGCTTTATTTAGTTTACTTGAAAACGTTGTAATTAAAATAATGTATGCAATTATGATGTTTTCTGTTTTGATCAAAGGGTTAAAGTAAGTTGTTTAATGGATTAGTTTAATTTCGTTCATATCATCCGAACTAAAAAAATTTAAATCGATTCCACCTTCAACATTAGTTGATATTGATGGGATAAAGATATTTGATTAGCTAAATTATAGATTTGTATAACGACAAAAAATATTGTATAATCGAACTTCCTTTATTTAGTCATGATTTGTTGAAGTAAAATACAATAAGATCATAGTATATGTGTATAAAAATAATATGAATAAAAATTATAGAATGAGTTATATATTTTTCAATTTGGTACCAGAGCTTATAATTTTTTTCTTTTTCTTTCTAAATCTTTGAAGATCTTAACTGGAGAGATGATAGAAAAACTAATTACAATGATTGTTCAATCTGAACGTGTCTTTAAGGTAGGCATCATCCTAAATGAATCCAATTATGACGTATGGTCACAACTAATGGAGGTGCACATTGCAGAGATGGAAAAATTGTCTTACATCCGTAGGAAGGTGAAGCCTCTAACAGAGAACGATGAGGGATATGAAAAATGGTATGCTGAAAACCAAAAAGTGAAAAGATGACTATTGATGTCTATGAAGCCAGAAATCATGAAAAGACATTTTATGATGGAAGTGATGAGCTACAGGTATTTGCCTTGAATCAAAGTAGGCATGAAGGACTCTGACGATGTGAAGTCATATGAGAAGTTCATTGAAAGATTAAGGGTGCATATATTATTTGCTGGACTGGATGATGATTTTGAGCAAGTTCGTGAAGAAATATTGCGCAAGGAAGTGACACCTGATTTAGAAGAATGTTATGCATTGATCCGAAAAAAAACAGTCTGGCAAACAACGTTGAAAACAGAAGATATGATTTCTGATTCCACAGCTATGATGACAAAGAAGCAGCCAACAAATCATCACAGCAAATCGACG